CAAGGCGGTGGAATGCTCTGGTAATTAAATAACATAAAAAATATTATCTATAAATAATGAGCATGCAAGGATCTATAGGATGCTGAGTAAGCACTCTGGCAAAGAGCAACTGCCATCTGTTGGGAGTAGGCTATGATGTCTTCATTAGGGCCATTCTTATATTTTCCTTCTCTCCCAGAATCACACCAGGGTTACGAGAATTTCCCAGAGAAAACCTTCTGCTTAACTGGTAATGAATTAAGTACCTACCTTATTTGATACATACTAGTTCTATCTTTCAGAAAGATTCTGTGAAATCACATCTAACTTTTGCAACTATGCATTTAAATATGAGTTCGTTGTAGCACTATACAGCCAACAATAAAACATCGCAGTGCAAAGTTTCTTTTCTACTATCTACAAAAATTTGTGACATGGAACTTTGTCATATCCAAATATGAAATGTGATTCACATTCAGAATGTGTCATAATTTGCATAGTTACACTATTAAAACTGGAGCTTCTTGGGGTATACAGCTATATAACATCTCAGGCATGTTGGTAAGAAATAAACCATAATTGAGACGGGTGGTAGCAGCATCCAACTGGTTAGAACAAATTACTTCTATTTGACTGCTGATAATTCCTGTTAATACTTTATTTTCTATGCCACTATATAAATAGCCCATAAAAATCTCTATTACGTAATGTCCACTGCCACTCTTGCGTAAGAGCCCTCGATGGATGGTGTGGGTGCACAGCATAACCACCGCCATGATGATCACAATATAAAGAACAATATAAACCCAAGTCTTCTAAAACTTTAGGAAAATAGCAGGGTCAAGGGTGGAGTGACAAGAAGAGAAGAAAGGGTGAAAAGCTAAAAATGAGCATATACCAATGAATATGTCTTTGGAACACTGATCCTGGACATTTCTGGAGCCTTAAATCAACCTCAGAGACATTTCCCACTACATCTCTCCCTGTCCTGCTCCAACCTACACATACACACCAAACACAGGTTCCAGATGTCTATTACATTTTTGAGAATAAAACAACGGAGGAGTGACATGGAAACAGCCACTCTCTGTGGGACTGATAGCAGAATATAATAGCTTCATACCAAAAGATCTGTAAAGAAAGTAAGTCTATCTACACATTCAACTCTCTAATAAACCCGTCCCACTTCCCCCCAATGGAACAAAATAGTTTTTCCTGCATTATTACATGCGAGAAAGAGTGGTAAATGCTCTACTCTAAAAAAGGTCTTTATAGTTATTGGAGAAAGGAAGGTATGATTACCTCTGCCCAGGATCAGTGGTGAAGGAAAGAGACAGATGTGCCCATGAAAGAGAATGAAATTCACACGCTGAACCTCAAAGGCTTCATCAATCTTCAAATCGACAAATATTACTATAGTGGGTGGCAGGGAGGGGAGAGCCATTCTAAGGGACAGAGTTTATGTCCAGCTGGATTGCTATCTTTGATTAATTGAATATTAAATGAGTTGTACAATGATCTCGTGTTCTTTACAAGGGTGCTAACATATCTGTCATGAAGTTCTTATTGACATTCTTTAATCCCTGGAAGTTAGCAGATAGTTACAGCAAACCTGGCTCAATCCTAACATCTGTCACTGTACCCATTACATCCTGGTGCTTTCATCTCCTCCCTGGATGTACATTTGTTACCACATTTTCTTTCCATTCAAGCAGGTTTGTTTGCCTTGAACAGACTTTCTTTTCCACAGATTACTTCAGTTCCAGAGAGAAGAAATGCTGCCATAGGAATGAGGCCAGTGGATGCATCCTCTCATATTAACATTATGCAGAGGAAAACACTACTTAAAATTTTAAACTGTCTTCTTTACTCAATAATAAACACTGGTTTCATAGCTCAACCACAGCCACTGACATTTATAACCTACCAATTGTCATGCATTTCCTATGCATAACTTATAAGTTCAAATCTTTTCATGTTTTAGTGAAGCTTCATTGCTTTTCTAATGAACAATATTCTTTTAACCGATTGGAGCATTTGCTAACCCAACTTTACAAAATCATCCAGCATCACTCACATACAGTGTTTGCAGATCTAACTCAAACCAGAGCCAAGCTAGTGTTGAATTTATCTTATAATTCTATAAATTATCCCAAACTTCTTTTTGGGGAAGTTCTTCTTTTTGGGAAACAGTCACTTTCCCTTTATCTCCATTGCTGGCATGAATATTTAAAGTTTCTGAATTTCCAGAGCCAATCTTTCACAAAGAAAAAGCAAGTGTTTATCACTGAACTACATGTAGATGCTGGGTGAGTCACTGGGCTTCTTCTTAGCCAGCTGATGTATTTCCATATACCAGTTGCATAGCATTTACTTCAGGAAAATTCAAAGTAGTATATATATATATATATATATATATATATATATATATATATATATATAATAGGAATTTTAACCAACTTACGACCAAATAAAGCACATGATTTAAATTCATGTATGTTCCTACTATAGTTAATTTAGAAATGTCTCCAGGTCCTTTAACACGAGTTTCAATATATAATGGAAGCAATAACTCAACCCTCTGCTTTTCCTACTAATTCTGGGTCTTTGCTCAGAAACCTTCTCTGGGATAGATTTTCTAAAAGTTCTCCTTCTTGATACTTTTTCTCTTCTGCACTATCCATTCTCAAATTAATCTTAAATAGAATTGATAACATTTTCCTCTGATATATTTCCTTAGTGCATTATCCACATTTCATTACATATTATATGTTGTTTATATAACATTGCATATTATATGTGTGACATCACACACACACACACACACACACACACACACACACACACACACTCCTCCCTCACCTTCAAGAGAGCGAGCCCCTCAGGACAGAAACCATGTTTTATTTATCTTTCTAATCTAGTGCTTTTCACAGTGCCAGGGACTGTAAATAAATGTTGCTGAATAAATAAAAGTTGAATTTTCTCAAGGCTAGTAGCAAAAATCCTTTTTGTTTTTCATGGATTACTTCTCTGGAGATAAAAGTGGTTTAAACTTACTAACCAAATAACATGCTATGAATTATGTAGGAACAAGTTACCATTACTCCAATACTTCAGAAAGGAAGCGTGAAGGAAAGAATATTTGTTATTTACTCAGTAATCCACATTTAGCCATTGAGAAATCAGTTGTTAGAAAATGGATATGCTAACTGGCAATGCTGTACTGTATTCCTTAGTTGATGTTGCTCACTTGAACGTCTCATATTCTCTGTATGTTCTAAAGTTTCTTTAGTACAGTATGCCTTGTACTGAGAAGGAATATCAATTCTGTGCAGTCAAGAAAGAACCTGCTTCTCTTTTCCCTTTTGTGTAATGGGCATCAGCATTATTATTCTCTTAGCTTTCCAGATTTAACAGGGGACAATATGCTTTAGCGACTGTGAAAAACCATGAAGGATGCCCCTGCTTTTAGACAGTGTAGAAGCAAATGGCTATATTCTCTGTGCTCCATTTCCCCCTCTGTGAAAAAGAAAAGCATAATATTTAACAACATCACCAAGCTATTGTGAGGGTTAATTAGATTTAATGGGGGAAGGGAGGTGAGTTGATTACACACTATTCAAATTCAAAGAATCATTATTTTGTGTCTAAAAATAATCCTGATTTAGGAATAAAATTAATTTGGAAGCTCAGTCTTTGGTAATCATCTTCCCATACTTAAAAAAAAGCCATAGTTTTTAATCAAAATCCCATTCTAAATACAATCTAGTGAAGTACAAATGGAGATCTGTGAATTTCCATTCACTTTTCAAGTAATACAGTGCATGGTTCACTTTTTTTTTCCTTTCTTTTTTTGAAGATATATTATGTGTAGAAAAGTTAATTTTTTGTAATGGAGTAAACAAATCTAGTACATTAATTTTTTTGTTTCACAAGAAACATTTGTGAAACACTTTAAATTGCATCTTTAAAGAATTCATAGACAATGTTTTGTGACTGTAATAATTCTTCAGGTCATTTCTGATAAGTTCTATCTATCTATTTATTTCAAGAACTAGTCAGTCAAAGATCTTTGACCTGTGTTATAATCCCTGGACCTAATGAATGTTACCTTCCATGGGAAAGCAGATTTTACAGATGTGAGTAAGGATCCTGAGATGGAAGATGATTCCAGGCTATGTAATGGAGACTGAGGTGCAATCACAAATGTCTTTGTAAAAGGAAGGCAGAAAGAGATTTCACCACAGAGTAGAAGGACATAATGTGGTGACATGGGAAGCAGAGGGGGAAAGGTATGTGATGTGGGGCCATAACTCAAGAACTAAGAATAGACTTTGTAAAACAGAAAAGGCCAGGAATGGATTCTCCTCTGGAGCCTCCAGAAGGTATCAACTGCACTGACACCTTGATTTAGCCCATAAGACTCCTTTTGAACTTCTGATCTCCAGAACTTTAAGAGAATAAATGTGTATTGTTTTAAGCCAAAAAGAGAGAGACAGAAGAAAGAAAAAGAAAACAAAAAGGTCTTCATTTGCCCTAAAATTAAAATAAAGAAAGAAAATCCCTGGATATTTATAGCTAAGATGAGAAAAAAAAATCATCTAAATAGTAATCATCAAAATTAATGTTAGATTAATTTACAATGAAAATCTTTATAAGAAGTGGAAATTGGTACCTGAGAAAAATCTGAGTTATTGCTTAACTCTCACTAGAAAACTTACAATATCTTCAACAAAAGAGAAACATTCTTTAAAAATATAACAGTGGATAATCCTGGAAAATATGCCATATCTGTTAGAAGAAAAACGTTGTCTCGGTTTTTGATGAGCGAAGAGCTTTGGCTGAGAAGGCACTTTACTGCTTCTATTTAGAACTTTCCAAAGGAAAGGGAGACTATGTAATTCAGTTAGTAGAAATGTATTCTCTATTGAGAAGCAAAAATAATTCTCTTCTGTTTTAATACCACCCTATTAAGACTTCCCATAAGACTTACAAATTTTTATAACAGGCTATATACTCACCAAGCAAACTTCTGATTATTCATTCGATTACCCCGGACCCTTGATACTGGGGACGGATGTACCCTGCAGGTAGATGAGAATAATCCAGTCATTAAAAAAAGCACATTCCCGATTACAAATGAACAAATGAAAAAAAAAAAAAAAAGAGCTGGTTTATATAAATGATCTCTTGCTTAATATAAAATGCCCCAGAACTTAATCACCTCTTAGTAAATGAACATAGTTAAATTCCTATGCATGCAAACCTGCAGTCTCTTTCCCTTGGTACCACTTTTAACATAACAATGGCTTGTCGCAATGTTCACTGTGACGACCTCCAAAACAGGATCACCAGTTTTAATCCAATGACAGATTCATTCAGTCCAACAAAAAGTTACTGACTAGCTAATCCCTGCCAGGTTTAGAAGTGGGTAAAGTAATATAAGGTATGGTGTTTGCCTACAATAAATCCCTTCTGCTACCTCTTCCCAGAAGTGATGCAAAGAGACAGTACGTGCACAGACCAAGTCAACTATTGGATTTTAAGCCCTAAAAAAGCAAGATAATGAAGGAGATCAGGATACACTATCCCAAAATATGCTATTTTGGCATAAGAATTATTATCAGCAGAAACCAAGTAAGAAACAGTAGACACAGGAGGAATGCTCTACTTTCCCTTTATATGTGTAAAAAACAAGGACACGAATTTCCCTCTTGTAAAGGAATCTTTCCTTTGTAAAGATGCTCCCCTCCCTGCACTTCCAATACCAGGAAGAAGAGTGCAACACACAACTCTTTATACCAGATGTGGTACTGAGATAAGTCTGCATAAACAATCCTTATTTATCATTAGTTTCTCCCATCTGTTTCCTAGTCAATCCCCCCCTTTTCTTTTGACTAGTCACTTCTCCACAACTTATCACTCTTTGTTAAAATGGTATATAAGATCCAACTTTTACCACCCTTTTGAGTCACTCATCACAGAGCATTCCTGCAAGTATGCATGCTGCGTGTGTAAACAGGTTTTTCTTCCCCTCCTTTGCTAATCTGCCTTTGTCAGTTTATTTATTTAGACTTTTGTCAGTTTAATTGCAAGCCTCAGACACAGAAAGTGAAAAGATAGAAGAAAAGGGTCTTGGTTTTCATTTTTTTTTTCCTCCCCCCACAGTAAGTTCATCCAAATGTCCAGGAACAGAATCTGAGGCTGGGGGAAGAAGGAAGGGTTGACAGTTATTTCAAGGAGAAAGTTTTCTACATGTGATGCTCTCTGCAGCTGGGTTTTGAGGAAGGTAGTCAATTCAAAAGCTGAGCTCAGCAATGGAGAAGTAAAAACTATATCGCCTTAAAAATTTCCTGGGTTAGAGTCATCCACTGGAACAGCTTATATTTCCAAGAATTGCTGATATCTTCCAATCAGGAGCTAGCTGCTGAACCTCCACCCCTTTGTGGGTCACTAACTGGCAACACAATACGCCTTACTTCCTCCTTCCTTGTGGCCAACTTCCTGCTTTGTTCTATCTTTACTGGAATTAGTGAGAACTAGGCAGTCTTTCAGCTTGTGTTATCGTTATGTCCCACACATCTTTCTTATTTATGGGAAGGAAAACAGAAATTTTAAACGGGTCTTTAAGTCTCATCAGAACCAATGGCTCCAAGGTTCATTAGAACTCCGTTCTCCATAGTTGTTTAGCAAGTGAAAATCATTTTAAAACAGATAGTACCATTCCAGCCCTGAAGAAGGGCCAAATGCAAACTTTCTGTAAATCCAGAGCCAGACTGCACTTTGCACTAGGAAGGCTTATTTCTTCCAACATCCCTTATTAACATTCTTTTCCTCACAGCACTTCTCAATGGCTGCTGCAGCTGAGCTGCTCAGCACAGATTTTCTGCTCTGCATGGGGGAGGGGATGTTAATTATGCAGAAAGATGGAGAGAGGCCAGACAGCCCCTCTGGTGAACTGTCTCATTCAAGCACGGCCCACTTCCTGCTGTTTTGCAGCTACAAGGATCACCTGTTGGTCTTGGCATCTGGCCAAACCGGGGCCTAGCGGAAATGACAGACTCAGCTAGAAATGAAAGCCAGCTCCTATTCCGGCACCCCAAATTGGGGAGAGAGAAAAAGCATGCAATAGAAACGCATAAGAATTATACAAAAGGTAGCGTGGCTCATTTTTTCTTCTCTTTTCTTATTTCTTTCAGTTGTTCTGCTTGGAATACAACCATCAAAATGGAATTATGAGCCAAAAAATATCTCCCCAACTAAATCTCCTGATCCAAGGGGCATACAGGAAGTCCTCCTACCCTTCCCTACAGCCTCACTAGGCTGTCAGAGTCCTACTAACTATATAAAGTTCTAAGGAGTGATAGACTGAATGCTCACGATTCTTTAATTCACTCCACATCCTTTATATGTTTACATCCTTTATTCCTTTCTCCTTAACCTTCACATTTCCATTCATCATAATTCCACCAGATGAAGCTTGATGATTGAAGTATTCTCTTATTGATGCTTCTCATTCCCTCTATCAGTGGAGAAAAACAGGCCCACTTAACTTATAATTACAGTATTCTCCTGGTATTTGTATCTTTTCATTGATCCATAGATCAAATACTGTAAGTCAGTAATTTTCTATCATGGTTTAACAATCTAAAAGAATATATGTGGATATGAACAAATAATTACATGGTTTCTTAAATTAAAACGTTAAAACAAGATAGCTTTCCCCCACCCTACTGAAAAGGAGTAAACTGACAACACGGACCATACTTCATTTGATAAAGTAGACCATAAAGGTTTGCGTTTCAGCTATCCCCAAATTTTACTTCTTCAAAAGGATACGCAGGGTTTTTGTTGAGCTCAGGCTACACTGTGGCACTTCTGGCCATCTCCTCCCTTCTTTCCACATATAGCAGCCAGGCAGGTAGCAAAGTCAAAACCCCAGTAGGAGAAACCACCACCTAATCTGCATGTCATGCATTATTCATGACCTCCTGATTCCTGCACCTGCATCTAGGCAGGAAGCTTGCAGGGAATGTTCATTATTCTTCTCTTAGCCTCACACAGGCTCGATTACTGCTAAGCCACTTTGTTCTGTAACTAAGGGTTTCAGGCCTTAGTACTAACCGCTGGATATGGAAAGAAAAAAAATCGCCAAGCTAAAGAAAAGAGCAATTTGGGTTGTTGTGCAACATGCACTGAATCCTACAATGTGCTCTTCTGAGACTGACAGTTAATGTCAGATGGAAATGCTCACATTTGGTGATTTACATTACATAGAAAAAAAAGGAAGCCATACCATTAAGGCCATGTATACCAACTGTTCTATTTACATACACTTACTCATCTAAGGCAGACAGCATGTTTATAACTGTGCCCAACACAGGGCTTAATTTAGCTTCTCTGCTAAGCATGTGAGAACTTTTTAAATATCTTAATACAAAAATGGTTCTTCCTTCTTTGGATATAAGTTCCAAAGAATCTGACCCCCAAATCTTGTATTTTAATGACTAATATTTATAGTAAATCAAGAGGATACAATCGCTCTGTTCTTCCCAAAGGTTTTATGAACCTTCCTTAATGGCTGGTGGCTGGAGGTAGGATGTGAAACCCAAATACTCAAATTACTGATTACTAATGAACTGCTGGGGGAGGATACCATCTTTCTTTTCACTATTCCCACTACAGAAAAGCTATGCCAACTTAAATTCAATCTTATAGCCCCAAATCAAATTAGAAATGATGTGGTTAAGAGTACAAACTGTGGAAACAGCCTGCCTGGGATTGAATTCCAGCTCTACCATTTACCAAGAGAGTCATGCCATCTTAGGGCAAGTTACCTAACCTCTCTGGGCTTCAATTTTCTCATCTGTACAAATGGAGGCAGTAATGTCAGCCACCTCCAAGGGCTGTGAGAGTTAAATGAGTTAATAGTTGTAAAGTGTTCAGAACAGCTTGGTACTCAGGAAGCAGTCAATACATGTTGGCTATTATCACCAGCAGTGTTGATTGGATTGGAAAGGATGGAAGATGAACCTGGAATATCCAATTAATTCCAGAGGGTTGAGACAACAAATGTGCTTTAGAGACCTGTAGTCTTAACTACCATGCTTATATGACTTCACTAAAGGCAAGGAAATAACAAAGAGAAATGAACCCATATAGAGTAATAAGAACCAACTACTGTGGTTTCTAAGGTATGGCTTACTCCCCGGCATCTAATTTTTCTGTTCTTTATTAGAAGATCTATCTTCTGTTTACTAAATTGCATCATAGTTCAGTTACGTCCCATTCAAGAACAAGTCAGTAATCACACCAATACACAATCATTCCATTTACTAACCCAACTATGTGTCAGATACCATACTAAGTACATCAGACACGTTACCTTATTTTATCCTCATAATCTTATTATCCACATTTCTTTGAGAAAATAGCTTAGAAGAGTTAAGTAACTTGCCAGGGTGACATAGCTAGTGAACAGCAAAATTGGAACTCTAACAGTATGTCTGACTTGTCTTACTTCACATTATCATCCAATCCTATGAACTCATATATATTCCTCCTACACTACCCGAAAGGATGCAATAAAATGAATTAGTACCAGGGATTTTAATGAGAGATTTTGCATTTATTGAAGGCCATTTGAATATCTTATAGTTTAAGTAAATGCAAAGTGAAAGTACTAGTTTTCCTGACCTAAATTTGGCACTGGACGAAATATTAAGCATGCAAGTGCTCACAAGAAAGTCACAGTAATGTAACTACTGACCTCCCTTTAACTGATTATGAAAATTTCTTAATTGTGTTGCTATTTAAATACATAATACACAACACATGTAAGTTTTAGATGGTATAATTAATTCTAACTATGCCCACTTCCTTGCTTCCCGTTTTTTCTAGAACCCAATTCAATCTAATTTCAAAGATGAAACCATCTTTGTCATGGGGATCAATGGCCTCCATGTTTTTATTTTTATTTTTATTTATTTATGATAGTCACACACACAGAGAGAGAGAGAGGCAGAGACACAGGCAGAGGGAGAAGCAGGCTCCATGCACCAGAAGCCTGACGTGGGATTCAATC